TGGGCCGCGGGGCGGGCCGGGGGCGGCGGGGCCCGGGCGGGCCGCAGCAGCGCCGGGGAGGAGCCGGAGCGGCCGGGGAGTGCGGACGTGGCGAGCACGTACCGGTGCACGGCGCCCGTCCATTTCTGCGGGCTGAGCCTGCAGATACGGTGTGAAAAAAACGTGCCTTGGTGCAGTCGTCAGGCTCGTCATGGATATTTTTTCCCTTTCAAATCAGGATGCCAGCTCTTGCTGCCTTCCAGGCTGATCGATAGTATGCTAGTGAGGTGGAGACGGGGTTTGTGGACAGTGGAAGGTGGAGCCTGATGATGTCAAAGTTGGATGATTTTGTGTTTGCAAATTCATTCCCGAGTTGAAATCAGGTGGAATAGCTATACAGAATCACAGACTTGCGTCCTAAACCATCATCTTTTGAGGAGGAGAGCTAGGCGTAATTCCAGTTGTCTTTACGAAGAGAGCAGTACTTCCATCTGGTATAAATACATTTATTTTTAGTGGGGCATTATTAACGCCATCATATTCGAAAATTGTGTGTACAGTTAGGCTGAGAAAAACATGGCTTTAGGTGTGGATCGAGGCTGATCGGAGGGCATGTGTTTGTTTTCATATTTGTTCATGTAAAATACAAAACTGTGTGTGAAGCAACAGCATATATTCTTATTGAGATAGGTCCATTGGTTCTGTGTTTGGTTCTGTGCTTTGTTTTGCAGAAACTAAATTTGGGACAGAAATTAGGTGACTGAAGCTTCTGTGTAATCTCAGAATTTCTGTATGCATATTCTTCATATATGTGTGTACATATGTGCAGACACACACACAAAGCTTGTGTATGTGAAGTGTGTATATATATATGCACACATTCATATCTTGTGTACCAAAAAATGATAGAATTTTAATAAAGGTGTTCACTCATCTGAGCTGCCCCCAGATTCGCCTTTATGTCTGGGTACCTTTCAACCTCAAAAAAAAAAGCAAGGCTTGGCAAAATAGCTAGTAGTGTTAGTATTTGGTAGAAATAATTTATGGAACACTCTAAGTGCAAGCACTGCTTTACTAACACAAAGAGTTGAGTGCCTGCTGCGAGGCACTTCACCATCTGAAAAAAAAAGTAATACAAGGAATAACAGTGCAAACACAAGAAGACATTATGATAGGTGATGAGGGTCTTGCTTTCTTTGGCCACTGTTTACCTTTCTGGCTGTGAATTCAACTAGACAGGATGGCCTTGATGATGCAAACTGTCTCTTGAACCAGATTGGCAAAAGTGTAATTTAAAGGTGAGTGAGTCTAAATTCTGGAAAATGAAACAAAGTCTCTTTGAAGATTCCAGGCACTCTTACATACACTTCGGTGATGTAGCGGTAATTCATGTAGCTTGTGTAGTAACTGTTGGATTGGTGTATAGGGTTTGCCTCTTAATTTTGCATTGAAATTTGTAGAAATCCTCATATTAACAGCAGAATTTTACACAACTTGCTGGTGCAAGGACCAGTTTCCAGAAAGAACTTGATGCCAGTTCACTGACCTTTTTTTCATTATTTAATGATAATAATGAAGAGCCCACAAATACATGGTAGAACTAGTACATTTATTTTTGAGAGTAGTCTTTTCTGTGTGTATTCAGAATTATTTTAAAACATCCTTACATCTCTTTAGTAAAGTATAACAGTGTTCTACTCTGGTTTAAGGCATGAAAGATTGTGATAGAAGTTGAGTGAGTTTAAGCAACTTCAATGTTTTTGTGCAGTATTTTTTACAGTTTATCTGTAAAATAACATTTTTCATGTAGGGTAGCTAAACTAGCTACAGCGAGTCAAAATCTAATGACAAAGTCTATGACTGTGATTACTGTTCTTCTATTAATATCCTCTGCCATTTTAACTGCTTTTTTGGTTTTTTCCTATGTTAAAGGTAGTTTCTAAGCACAGTATTGTGTGCAAAAGGTGAATGTGTTTAGAGAAAAAAGACTGACTGAACAAGGAGAAACAGGAAAAAAATTTGATATATAAAGGTGCAAAATGACCCAGCTGGACAAGCTGAACACTGAGGCAAAGTAATACTGGATGTTGTGATAACCACAGACTTTTAAAAGTATGGATTTACAAGATACATTTTTACCTTTCAAGAGAGTGCGTTTAATCTGTTTGTGGCAATTACAAAGGCTGATTATTTCAAATGTCACTCTACAGCCAAAGTACTTCAAATGTGAGCTGAATCTGTTTGTGTTTTTATTTTATTTCTGCTTTGTTTCTTTGCCTTTGAGTGTCTAAGTGAACAAACTCAACTGCAACGTTTGCAGCTTCTTCCTAAGGGAAACCTGAAGTCTGTGTGTTCGAGTATATATGAGTTATAGAGAGTTAGCATAGAGTTACCAGCTGGTTTTTTTTCTGTCAAAGTAGACTCAAACATCATATAAATGAGAATTAGACAAGGCACTCAGATCTTTTTGTGCAGCATTTTCTTTTATTGCAGTTACACTTTTCAAAAAGGTAGTAAAGTTCTTAATGTGTCTGCAAAAAAAAAAAAAAACCAACAAATTAAGCTTGAGTAATACCTTTAAATTCCAAAAAACTGTAAAAAAACCCCAACCTGCTGTAATGTGCACATGGAGTTTTGGATAATTTGAATGAAATTGGTGAGCTCAGTACTGATTCACTCATATTCAGATTATGAAGCTCTGTTTTTCTAGAAATATAATGGCAACAACACCGGCTTAAAAAAAATCAAAAAACACAGCCAAACCAAGACAAAACACAACAAAACCAACTTCTTGTTCAACATAAACAACAAGAATCTAAAAAGTGTTTACCAAAATATGTTTGACCTAGGTCATTCATCCTTTAGTACAAGTCATAAGAGCACTTAATTAAAATCTGCGGTTTTTACAAAATTAGATTTACAGTGCAAACAAACCTATGCCAAACAAAAAATCTAAGAAAAAGCCCTTCAACTCTGTAGTGACTAGTTTAAATATTTAGTAAACTAAATATTTTAGTTTATTAAATTCAGAACTAGTCTTTTACTATCCTAACACTACAAGATTTTTTGTAAAGCATTTTGATTAAATGCTTTGGGATGCTTGAGAGAAGCCAGTACATAGGTAGGAATGTTACTACTTTAAAGACAATACAGAGACGGTGTTTAGTAAGGTAAAATTAGATTTGGAAGAGAAATTAGTCTTGTACTTCTTATGTTTGTTTATTAAAAATTTAAATATAGTCACACTTGGTTGAGTTTAAAATACTGTCTTGTTCCCCACTTAGGACAACTATGAACGAATGAAGGCACTGGTAACTGAGCTACAAGAAAAAGCAGAAAAAATCAGGTTAGGTAAGTATGATAGTCTAGATTTCAGAATAATATTCCTAGCTGTAGTTGAGCTGGCAAGGAAAAGCAAGCCTGTAGTATAAAAGATGGAAATCTGTTTCTTCTTTTTGAGTTGTGAGGCTATCTGAATGAATTGCAGTTGAGTATAATTAATGGAAACAATATAAAATGAAAACATTTAATAAATGCTTAATTATGTGCTAGAGACCGAGCATGTAGCTTTAATTTAAAGTGCCTTTTTTGTGACTCATGATACTGGTTTTGTCATTTTATACACTCTTTCTTACATAATGCAATTTCTTTTACAACTTTGGAATAGAGCACAGTTAAGATTTTGTGCTCAATGCCTTTTCTTTCTTGCTCTGTGAAACAGGGGTCCAGAGTTTCCTGAGGAGATGTTAAAATCCATGGGCTACCTCTGTCTTTTATTGGTGTAGAGACTGTTCAGCAGTTAATGAACTAATGATGTGTGCCACATGAGTTAATGATTGTGGCCTTCCTCCTTGCTGCTCGTTTGCCTGGTTTTGCCTGTTACACAATGACAGGACACAAGACCATAGTGTTCATCTTTTCTTCATCTGAGCAACCTCTACCAGGATGTTAATCCACAGTTTTGAGTGACATTGATTGATTGAAATTGCTTTACATATCATTTAAGTATATAAGAAAAAATAGGTACCTATGTTGAATACTTCTGAAGGATATGTGCAACATCTTTAGATTTCACTGTAAAAATTGTCAGAGGATGAGTTCTTGTTTGAAGTCTTTGCAATGAATGCTTCATTTGTTAGCTGTTATTCAGTGTGTAGGGTTTTTCTGAACCCATGTCCCACCCTGCTCAGTAATCCCCAGCAGTGCAACGGGAAGTGGTCCCTGCCCCTTTACAACAGGTGCTTTCTGACAGAAAGCACAATAAGTAGGTGAGATACCTTTAATCTCCATGACTGATTGTAGGACATCAGCAGTTACAGTGGTGTAGGCATTGTTGTAAAGAACAAATTAAGAAGAAGTTTCAAATTAAATGCCTCCATTTAGTTAAGGACACTACTGCTCAGAATGGAGGTTAGTGCAGGGTAGAGTGTCTTGATGTTGGAAGAGGAATGTTCAGTGGAATGGCTACTGGGCCTGGGAAGCAAGCATGTATGATGCACAAAGGTGACAAAAGTCTCAGGATGGAAATTATTTTTGCAGTATCACAGTGTCCAATGAAGGAAAGAGATTAGTGCATCTGGAAAGCTATTAAAAAAAAAATAGGGTGGTATATTAACCTAAAAGTTAGTTTTGCTTACTCAAAGAACCTCCAAGACTGTTCTTGAAGTTAATTATGGTGCTATGCAGGATTATTTTACTCCCTAAAATAATGGAACAGGACATTATAGTAGTGAGGCTGCTGTTGCAATGTGCCCTTGAGCGAATGCAGATAAGAGCTCTCTTAGAGCACCAGAGCTTCAAGAGTCCTTGACTTGTTGCACTTCTTTAACCAACATACAAATTTACTCATTAGAAATACTTTTCTCTCTCATAAGCTTTTTTTTAATTTTAGGACGGAATGCTTGATTGTTGCCAATGATGCAACTGTCAAAGGTGGCACCTATTATCCCATCACTGTTAAGAAACATTTGCGTGCTCAAGAAATTGCAATGCAAAATCATCTCCCTTGCCTTTATTTGGGTAAGTCCCATTGCAGAAATAGCCAAGGTCCAGTGTTAAGGGCAGCTGATCTGTCTGCAGATCTGACTAACAAGGAGTGTATTTAAAGCACACCTATTCAAATATGTTTTAATCAATACTGTATTATCACTGCAGAGGGATGGCACATCTTAACTGGAGGGTGTGTACAGTCCTGTGGTAGGGTTGGGTTCATAAAATACAGATGCAGCTGTTAACAGTGTATCACTTCTTTCCGTCATGAATTAGCAATATTTCCTGTAGACTCTTCCAGTCAATTCAAATTACAGTTAAAAAGAAAAAGTACATTCTGGTGGAGGATGTATGTGTATGAGAAAAGATACCAAGGAAATAAAAATAATAAATAAAATTGTCAAAAACAGTTTGGATCAATAAATTTTTAGGATTTTGGATTAATTTTTTTGAAGCAGAAATTTAATTGTATTTTTTTTACATTTTGAGTTTAGCCTAATTGATCAGTATTTAGCCAAACTTTCGTGTAAACCTTACATGTCCTTTCATTATAAAAGAAGAACAGAGTGACAGCTATCTGTAATGTATTACTGGTAGTGTTTTCTTATCCTGGTTTTATACAAATACAAGAGGTTTCTGTCAATGTCTTCCTTTCAGCCTGAATTCCCAGCTTAATGAGTTTTGACCCTATTAGCCAGTTTCAGTCAGCTTTGACAGAGAGTTGTAAGAAAATGTGTATTCCTGTGGATTTTGTATATGTCAGCATCAGAGGAGAAAGACCTTCTACTCCAGTTTTTAAAAATACAGATTATTCCTTGTCTGTTCAGCTTAGTTTAGCAACTTAAATATCAGCTGTTTGCCAGTCTGGATGCTTGTACTAGTTAAATAGTCAACATAAATAGAGGTCCTGGCCAGCCCAAGTGTTTGAAGTTTCTTGCCCTGCTGATAAGTCAAGCATGTAAATAAGACCACTAGAAGGATTAGGGGAAGTGTGAACTTGAAACTGTTGGTGAGGTGGGTACAGGGGCAATGTGGGTGAAGATTTTGTGGGATTGCCATAGAAAGAGTCCTGGAGAGACGGGGAAAACTAAATTTTATCTTAGTTGTTAAAAAAACAGAAAAATCTTAGCTTTGCTGTTCGCAAAACAGCTGTTAAGATTTTTTTTTTTATCAGCAAATTCTGTCTGTTCAGAGAAGTCTTTTTAGTGAGTATTCAGTGAGCAACTGTGGATGATTCTACTGTTTTAAGATCTTATGGAATGAGGAATTGTGGGACACAGCTACGCCTTTAAAAGAAAAGTTTAGGGGTTTTATTCCATCTTTGAGAGGTATAGTCCTTGGATGTACAATGTCATTCATACCTGGTGATTTACTTTAGCCTTGCAGTTTCTGTACCTGGACTTATTCCAGTTGATTTGAGCAGTGCAATAAGAGGGAGCGCTTTGTAGTCAGCAGTGTACTGGCCATGTAGTTTTCATGTTGTTTGAACTGCCTTTTCCACCAGTGATAACAGCTGCCTAGGTGCTAATTCTCATGTGGACAGGTGGTGCCATTTGCCAGTGAGTCAGTCACTGGTGTGGACATTTTGTTTTGGCTGCAGTCATGTAAGATAAGAGTGTGCATACAGACTGGTGGTTGTATGTAAAAATTAATTACCAGGAGCCAGAGTTCTCAGAGATGCTTTATCTCCCTGTGCATTTCCTCATAGTCTTCTGTCCTTTGGATACCTCTCATGACAGGTTGTATTTTCATTAATTGGGAGCAGAGAGGTAGCTGCCGTTGGAGACCTGTGAGCAGGAGGGTGTATCCTGAGGCAAGGGCACATAATAAATGAATAATACTAAAGATAGTTTAATGTCTTTGTTGTGAAGTTTAATCAAGCTATGAAAGAATAGAGGCAGCACCTTTTGAACTTGGTGGTGATTAGCTCTGCCTTTTTCTGGAGCTGGTGACAGAATTGCAGTAGAATTGTTGAGTTAAAATTGTATATTAAAAAGTGTTTTTAGTTTAAATATTTTGCAGCAAGTTGAGTTTAAAAGTTTGTTTAGGGAGGGATGGTTGCATCTTTAAGCATGTCTGAGTTTATTTTCCATGAAAGTCATCGGGATAGATGTTATTTTGGAGAGGAGTGTTTACTGTTTTAGTTCTTTATTTTTCCAAAAGGAATGTTCTATTATACATACATTCATGGAAATATATACAGTATTAGTGATAGTAATTGTTGTATATTTTAGGTAACATGCTGATACTTTACCAACGAGTATGTAACACTGTTCAAAGCATGCTAATATAATTTGGTTCATTCTAGTTGATTCAGGAGGAGCAAACTTACCTCGGCAAGCAGAAGTATTTCCAGATCGAGATCATTTTGGCCGTATTTTCTATAATCAAGCAGTCATGTCCTCACAAGGAATTCCACAGGTAATTTGCTTTTATCTAAGAATTAATGTACTAATTAGTTTTTATGCCTGCTGCCATTACCTCTTTTCAAAGCTTTTCACCATGTTTTGTTTCTGATGGCATTGTGTTGTGCTAACCTGATGGCCCAGTCTGGGACTTGGAAGCACTGAAAACACAGTAACTGTCCACAAAAATTCATTATAGTTTTGAAGAAACTGTCTACTTTCTTAGTCTTAGTGTTAATGATTTGACCTACCTGCTCCTCTCTGGGAGTAGGAGAGAAATGGACTTGGGAACATGGTATGAAGGGCCATTTGAGAAAGCACTAGAAAATCTCTTGGAACAGTTCTGCATCAGCACTGCAAAGGTGAGGACCCCCTTGAGGATGGCTAATAAATGAGACATATTTTCCACTAACAGGGGTATGTGTGTATTTATAAATCCACTTTACACTCTGATGTGCTTTATGTTGAAACGGCCCTAATAATAAGGTTATTTTCTAATGAGTTAATGATGCACACAATTACTGTTAGTCACAGTTCCTGGATTTAGAAGTGCTTTTGTGTCATGGTTCACTCAATAATACATAGGGATCAGTTTTTTGATGCAGGTGATGTGCTAAGGAAGCAAAACCACATGTTTTGCTGAATCTGTTACTCATGAGGAATGTAAAATATTTGAAGATTGCTGATGGGCAGCTATGGCTGCAGTGACAATGAAGGGTAGGGTGTACAGCCCCAATGGAGTTGAGAAAGACAGGTACCAGAATAAATACTCTAAGGGAATTGTTAGCAGGGACCTCTGAGAAGCTGCCAGGAGGGGTGGAAAATCCATGGTCTTTGAAAATAACCTACCGCAAATAAAGGAATGCTACAGAAGAGCAAACAAGAGAAACTGGGTAATTCACAACCTACAGAGCTGCTGTCTACTCAGACACCCTCTACCTCTTTGTATGGTTTTGTACTCCTCTCTTATATTTGCCTTATACTCCCTTTTGCAGACCAAAAAATTCAAGCTTACTCAGCTGTTCTTCCTGCAGTGTTCCACACCTCTGATGGTCCTAGCTCATCTTCTTTTCTCGATCTTACTGTATCTTTTTTAGCATGAAGGAGACAGACTGCACCAGCAGTCCTTAGAACAAATAAATTAAAAAAAAAAGGCAAATTGTATGGAACTTCTTAGAACTACCAATTCTGAGCATCAGTTCTCAGAACTAGTCTTTTTTTCCTTTGATCACAGGGGAGAGCAGACAGCTTCCTCATTTGGCACTGAGGTACAGCAAAATTCATTTGAACTGCAGTACTCTTTCTGTTTACGAGGGGAAAGTATATACAACCTTCCAAAAAAACCATAAATCAATAGAAGAAATAAAGAGGTTGTTTGAAACCTGCATTCTTTATGGGCATCTGCAAGTGGTCAGAGCAAAAAGAAGTTATGGTCATAAATCCAGATTCTCTTTTAGACCTGTGATCTATATAATCCTGCCAGATTAATCTACGAATAATAACAGTAAGAGCTGAGGAATGCAGAACATTAAAAAATTATTCAACCTCTGTTTTCTATACAATGAGAACAGCAAAATCTATTCTGAGTGAGAAACAGGTCATGCATACTGTGGAAATGGTGATGGTAGTATTTATTTTCAAAAAAAAGTTCTCTACCACACTTTGAAACCCTGAAAAAGCTGGTCATTATCCTAGCAAAGGGCTGGGGTACCGTTTAATTTGTGTGTGCCTGCAGTGGAACCTGAGTTATATGTCAGAGGAGGTATTTCAGTCTGTGTTGTCTGAGACTGGGCTGTGACACAAGTAGAGCCCATGGCAGTGCTATGACACAAATCCCACCATAATACCGTTATCCAGTGTTCTTTTTCAGAAGGAATAAAACCCTTGAGAGACGATTGTTACTGGATTCTGATGCCCTGAGGCTCAGGGGGACATGATTCCAACCACTCACAAAAGAGACTCCACTGTAGCCTTGGGCAGGTTTTTTTTTCTGGGGGAAGGAATTAGTAGAAGCCAATACTACGAGGGTGAAGCAGATGCACCAGTCAAGGATGCAGTATTCAGTCTGACTCCTTACATGACAGACACCGGCTCCGCAGGATTTTTGACAAAACTGTCTGTGTTACCTTGATACCATTTTGGCACATTTTGGCACCAAGTAAGAGTTTAAATCTTCAACCATATTTTATTTTTCCAATGAATCCTGTAATCCATTGCCTCTATAAAAACACAAGGCTGAAGATTCCAACAATGCACTAAATGTCTTTAGGAAATATGACATAATTTACCTTCTGTAGTTCTTTCCAACAGTAGAAATGGACCAGTTGCAGTGATTAGGTAGGTCTCTAGAGAAAAGTAGTGTTTTGTTAGAACAGAAATGCCTAGGAGAAAAATACAGTTTGTCATCATATAAGACTCCCTGGTAGATCTAGATTGGTCCTAGTGTTTTTTTGGAACAGCTAATGCCAAAGGAGTGATGTTTTGCTGAATTATCTTTTTTGGAGAAATTTTGGAAAACCTTATTTTTCCTGGAGACTTCAGTCATGATCTGCTTTGGGAGTAATGATTTTTAGATGTTATGGCAAAGATAGATGTGTATACCCAGCTTGCAAGGCTGAAATTACTGATGTCAGGCAGGACCTTTCTAGAAATGCTTGACCCTACAGTTATGCTCTTGTTTCCAGCCTGTTTTGAAATGTATTTTACATAATTGTAAAGTTACATTAAAAAGGTGAATTTATGTTTCTTTCAATTACCATATGGTGTTGTATTAGGAGTAATTGTATTCATATACAATAAGAACTAAATATAAGAAAGATTTGTCTATTAAGAAAACACATTTCTATTTGGTAGGACACTGATGAAAGTTACATTTTCCAAGTAGGACACTGATGAATGTTTATCTTTCTTTAAATATTTATGGAAGACTCAGAAAAATGTTTTACTGAAGCACTTTATTTAAAGGTTGTGATAAGGGTGCATTTTGTTTGGGAGATGTATCTGCTTTGTTTTATTTCAAAGAGGCACTGTTAACATTTGTAAATCTATTATTGGTCCTGTGCTAACAGACTGTGGCAGCTAGAACCATCTTCCCTGTCTGAGAGAATGTTTCTTTAGAAAATGGGATTAGGAAATTATGCTCTCTCTGATGTCCATTCTGGTCAATTCTTCCAAGATGGGAGTCTGGATATTGTTAGTTTGCTACCTGGTGGTCTATGCTCTGGCTTGCTTGAAGTTCTGTTTGTCAGTTCATTAGTTCTTCTCAATTTGGCCCTTAAAGTGCTTGCTTTTTCCCCCCTCTTTTGTTTTCTAGTTGCTGATAGTGCTTTTAATTTCCCCCTCCACTTTTACCTGTGACTAATTTATTATTCACCCACTACAGCTTAAATTACGTTGTTGTCTGTATGGGTGTGAATCAGAAAGCTGTGATTAGCTCCTCATTAGCTGCTTCCTGAGCTCTCTCACACTCATATGCTGCATGGATATGATGGGGGATGGATCAGTGGATATGAAATAGTGTATGTGCACTCAGGACTGTCGACTTTTATTGAACACAAGAATTTCTTTGCAGCAATTTAGAAAAGTAAGTCAGGGTGTAAGATATTATTTGGAAATTTGACAAGTAAGTTTTATTTTTTCCAGTAGATACATATTCCAGTTTTTATGTTGGAAAAAATTAAAACTGAGTGAAAGTTTAAATGCAGGCACGTTCTATCAGTGTGAGCATGGTGAAATTAAGAACAGAAAAAAGCCACAAATCCTAGAGGGAAAAAAAGAAATAAACTTATTTACACCAAATTTCTCCCATTTCTAGAGACTTATGTTATTTTTTAATTTGCCATGGGTTATTTATTAAATGCACAAGAGAAGTACTGCAGATTAATCATGTGAGTCTGAGTAGATATAGTTTCAAGATCCTGAAAACTTTGCTGAAAAGGCTGTTTAATTTGATGATAGCACATTGACATAGTTCATGTAGTCCTTCTTTAGATATGCATAATGTGATTTAGAAGTTTTACTTTTCTATATACTGCTTTCTTCTTCCAAATTAGCATGTAACAGAGAACACTAATTGATGTCACCTTAGAAGTATCTTGAAACAAACTTAACATAAAATAATGTTGTTTTCTAAGGGTTTTTTAGTGGTAATGTGTGTGTATATGTGTGGTTGTGAAAGAAAGTGTTTGTCTTTTTCATGAGTATTCCTTTTCTTCTGCTCTACAAGTGTCTTGAAAGGGTCTTTGTAGATGCTCCTATGAAAGAGAAATTGAGAAACTTCATTTCCATGATTGTCTACAGCTACAGTATTCATCATATCTGGGTTCAAGTTAGTTTTGTAAAAGTATCACCAAGGTATTACTGGTAGAAAATGTTCACTGGGTAGGTGTTCCATTCAAAATTAGGTAAAAAGATGAAGCAGAAATTATTCATGGTGAAGACTATAATGAGATGCTCAACACATCTCGAAAGGGCAAAATTAATTAGTTGATCCACTGAAGACTTGAAGTAGCATACTAAGAGGTGGGAGAAATTTCCTTCAAAGGATGTTAACATTGGTGCAATTACGCCAGTAAGCAGTAACTGAAGCCCTGACTTAAGTATAAATACCAGGAGAAACCTATAGCTTTTAACTTTTACTGTTCGTGAGTAAAACTAAATTCCATGGTACAATGTGTATCTCTTCAAACATATCACATACCTAGATCAGTACCTCATATGTGAGTTTTCCAGCAGGGTAGTCTGAAGATCATAGTTCTACAGACTGTTAAAAATGGAAGATTCCTTATTTTTTAAAGAAATGCTAAAACATAAAAAGTTTGCTCTATTAGACAGAAATAATCTTGCAATGCTGTCAAATGACCTCTGTTAAAATACATAATGTCATGTGGCTTTGCTATTTTTAAGGGTAGGACAGTTCATTAACTTTTGCTTTTTGTTTTCCTGATAGATTGCAGTAGTCATGGGATCCTGTACAGCAGGAGGAGCATACGTACCTGCAATGGCTGATGAAAGTATTATTGTTGGCAAACAGGGAACAATATTCCTGGCAGGGCCACCTCTGGTAAGGATACAGAAATTTCTAGTGACAGGCCTCTCTCCTCCCCCTCCCCCCAAATCATGCTGTGATAATTGTACATCTTAAACAATTGAGTAATTTCTTGGTGAGATATTTCTAGATACTCTGTAGCTTAGTTTGTATTTTTAAGTATATCTGAATGTTTCTATCCTAAATCAAATCTCTTCTGTTCATTAGAGGTGTGTATATATATAAATCAGACTATGTCCAGGTGTTTTTGTAGTACTGTTTTTAGATTGCAGTGCACATTTTAAATAATAAAAATTGTTTCTATATTCAATTATGTACTCTAGGTTTGACACAAAATTTGAGAAAATCACAACCATGTGTATTGTGTCTCAAAGTCAAGATCAAAGAACTTCTGAAGCAGGACTGGTCTGCTTCTGTATTTTTATGTCAGTTTGCTGCCAAAGGAGGCATGCTTACAGTGGAGTTTGTCCTAGTTCTCTCTTAATCTCTCTCTCTCTCTCTCTCTCTCTCTCTCTCTCTCTCTCTCCTTCTGTCCTTCCATCCTTCCGTCCTGCAGTCTTTTGTAAGGAGGTTGTTTCTAAGGAAACTGACCTGACAAATTCCTGTGAATTAAACCTTGCATTATTGTGGCACTCAGAATGGCATTTGTGACTGTGAAGTACTACAGTATAAGAGAGCTTTAAAATTGCAGTAGCTTGGCACAAGAAAAGGAATGCTTGAATGTGACTTGTTATTTTAGACAGTCTAAGCTCAGTTCTATACCAATACAAATAATAATACTATGCTGTCAGTCTTTTGCTGACAAAGATTATTCTACTTAACACAAGCTTTATGAGAAAAAAATGAATCTTTAGTAAGAAATGTTAGTGCTGGAACTAAGGGAGCGTCATTCATCACAACTATTCAAGTCTCGATGAAACATGGCTGGATAAACTTCCTTTTTCGAAATAGTCAAATATGTGTCAAATTTACTGTACAAACGAGTCTGAGGCAGCACAATGGCTCTGTTTTGGTTACAGTCTTTTGGGAACTTTAGGGTGTGCTTCCTGTGATGAAGCCAAATGTGAATCTAATGTCTTTCAAGAGTCCTACCATCTAGAGCATGCCAAAGTGGAGAAATTGCTTTGTAACAGCATTGTTAATGAAGATACTGCTCCATTGATTCCTCTAGTAATAGAGGAGGCAAAGTCTCTTGGAAGTCACTTCCTTCAATGCTTAAAATACTAGGAAAATGCGGTGTGTCCCATTAAACTGTGGGAAAACAGCTGCTGACAGATTTATTTGTTGACTAGTTCCTAAGGCATGATTGTGTTATTCTCATTAAAAGTATGAAGGACTCATCCTTTAATGTGATTTAGTGTTTACCTGCATAGCTTTTCTCTCATTTGCACAGCATATTTTCCTTTTTTTTGAAAGAAAATTAATTTTCCTTTAAAATGAATTTTCCCCCATTGCTTCATCTTTTTTATGAAAGTAGATTTGGCATTTTATACTTCTTTCAAAGTTCAGTATAGATGGCTTTTAAGTTCTTGTGGAGTTAAAAAAAAAGAAAAAGGAAAAAGAGAAAAAAGGATGAAAAAAAGTCTTACATTTGTACATCTTAAATAAATTCAGAATTAAACTGGCATATGGAAGGCAGGGGCGTGGGACACGCACCTGAAAGTACAAGGATATGTTGTTCCCCACCCTAGTAAAAAAAGGCATTTGGTTTGAAGTAATTTATTATTTTAGTGGAAGCTTTCCAAGTTGATAAGAAGAACAAAGTAATCAGGAAAAGCAGATGAAGTAATGAATAACAACTATGCACTGTAATGGTAATTTATTTACTGCTCATTAGGATTTTGTGGTTAGCCATTTGACAGTAATTGTTTCAAATGTTCTACCTAGGTTTCTCTTCCTTTTTATCTTGTTTGTGTTAGTGTTTTTCCACTTGTTTATAGGTAAACATAGACAAATCATCCTCAAAATTAAGTAATTCTCTATAAATACATCTCTGCAATTTAGATATTTGGAGTTTCTTGCTGGAAAGTGACATAAACGTGAAGGAAGATACTATTTGAGAATATTAGTTGAGTAACATGTGATTTGTACGTCTTTGAGATAAGAAAACTGGTGTGATGAAAGACATGAACTTTGTACATCAGAGTGTCAGTAGGTTCTTTACTGTAACTGAGAGCAACTGCCCTGGTTGCAGGAGCACCTGAGCTGTTCAAGTACAAACCTTTTCAAAAGATTTTCAGTAAGACATCTAATACCCAGTATGACCCAGAAAATTGGATTGGAACATTAAAAACAGAGAACCAGATGCTTGTTCTCTGGGAATGGTAATCATTTGACATCACAAGGCAATTTAGATCATATGTGTGTGTCACTGAGATGTAGCTCGTGAGACGTGCCTGGATGGATATCTGGAAAAGGATGACCCAAGTCTGGCCTCAAGGGGAAGGCGACTAGGCAAGTCAGTGACTGCAAGGGTGTTGTGAAGTTAAAAAGTTTTAAACTCTTTCCCCATTTTCAGAGGAAGATTTCTCAACTATCCTCCAATTTAATTTGTTTCTTAGCAACCTGCAGATGTAATGATCCTTATCTTTGTGTGTATATGTCAAACTTTATTATCTCTACCTGTCAGCCTTTCTGTTCTGTAGAGCTTTTCATATTCTCACTGAAAATACTCTACTTGCCTTCTTCTAAGCATCAAAACTGCTTCACACTCCCATAGAAACTCCCATTCCTTGCTGTAGCAGATATTGTAGCCATTATTGAGTAAGCTCTCTTCCCCAAAACGTCTTTCCTATATGAAGGAAATTGGATTGGACTTTATTGCTTACCTGCCTAAAACAAAACATCCTGAGGAATTGAAGAAAGAAATATCCCTGATGTTACTTATAATTAGTCTTGAGATGTGTATGATAAAAAACATATGAGTTATACGTACAGTCCACATCTAAAATGGAAGTTTTCTTGGCCTCCTTTTTTGAAAATGTGAGGAGTAATGACTTCATAAAAATACAGATCTCAATAGAAGAAGACAGTAGTCCTCTTCAATAGAAGTGTCACAGTAGCAGTAATATTCAGGGCCATTCTTCTGTATTTTCTCAAGTGGAATATCTGTATCCTCATCTTTGGCAGTACTGCTTGGTAGTTCAGGCTGTCATATAGACCTATAGGCTCTTGTTCCAGAAATTTCTGATTCTTCCTTCCTGAGGTAAAATTTGCTACTTTCTGTGCTCAGAGGTGAAAAAAGTCCAGTAAAAAGAGGGAATAAGTTTTTCAAATTCATGTGCATTTATGTACTGGGAGTTTCGTGCATTTTGACCTCATCTGTTGTGGAAAATACATATTATAGCCTAAGCTTATGTTTATAGCTTTCAATAATTTCTAGCTGAAATAGCTTGATTAGGTGTTTCTTAGAAAATGCCCACATATATTTTTGAGACTCTTACTTGCAGTCTGTTAGAATTTAAAGAACTTTAAGGTAACTTCAACCACTAACTCTAAGTAACTTTAACTGTTACTTAAAACTGCAGTTTGTAGAATGCTCTGCTCCACTGCTGTATCTGGAAAGATGATGGAGCAAATACTAGTTCTCACCCACTCTGACAAAATAAGACACATTTGGGCTGCAGGGTGCAGCTCTGGGCGCTCCAGAAAGAGCCTGAGTTAGCCAGTGAAAATCCATTAAGAGATGGAGTGGAGCATCTGTAAAATGAAGAGGGTGTGAGAGAGATGAAACTTTTCAATCTGGTGAGTCGTAGGGCAAATCTATCCATACCTTGCAAGGGGGAGTAAAGATAGCAGAGTGAAGCTTCTTGTTGGTATCCTGTGGTAGGTCAAGAGGTTGCCAGGCACAAAGTGAAATACAGGAAGCTCTGTTTAGTTGTAAGAAGACATTTGCTGCAAGGCTGGTCATGCCAGACCAAGTTGTCCAGAGAGTTTATGGAGTCTCCATTCTTGAGCTATTCAAAACTCATGGTCATTACATAGTCATTAGCAACCTTCCCTGGTTGACCCTGCTGTGAGCAGAGGAGTTAAACTTCGCAATCTCACATGGTGGCAGACAGAGTCCACAGCTCCAATATTGTGATTTGGAGAAGCAAAACTTCACCTCTGTGGAAAAAAAAGCTGGTTTTGTAAAATATTTTAAAATTAATCTCTGGATTCCCATGCCAGTGGAAATGATTGCACTATTCAGCTTTGTGCCAAGTTCTGCAGTAGTTAATAGTTTGTTATAACTGGTTGCATAATGACAGGTGTATGTAATTATTTCATAGAATCATAGAAAGAGATCATATAATCAAATTGTAGAATCACTTATCTTATAATACACCCTAAAGGTCATTGAGTTTGGCCATTAACCTCACACTGCCAAGTGTACCACTAAACTGTGCATAAAATGCCACGTCTACAGGCATTTAAATACCTCCAGGGATGGTGACTCAGCCGCTACTCTGGGTAGCCTGTTCCAATCCTGCATAACCCTTCCAGTAAAGAAATCTTCCTCACTTCTCTTAAAAGTATCTTACGTTCACTGTTTAATGAAGACTCAAGTTAATTATGTCTGTGACAGAAACATTCCATTAATTAGTATGCCACACCTTCATATACCATGGGTAATTCAAATTTCAAAGCAAGAATCCACTATTGAAGAAATATGTATAATTAAATTTGCAAACTTTACAGTTTGGAAGGGTGTGTGAGAATATATATATGTATTTATATAATTAGTGTGCTTTAGTTTTAGATATGAAACTTGAAAACTGAAATCTGTTTTGGTAATAATGATAGTTTTCCCTTCCCTTGCTTGTATTCTACCTCTGTAATCTCTGTGGGTGATGAATGGTTTCTCCAGCTTTCAAGGAATCCTTTTCAAAGCACTTACTGTAGAGTGGAAATGCCTCAAGAAGTCTTCTGGGGTTTTTTTAACCCCAGTAGTAAATTATACGATTTTGTTTAAAAAGGAGACCATTCACTTTTAAATTACCCTTTCAGGTCTAAGATTACACAGATCTAGGCTTTGGATTCTGCAGTCCAGGTACTTTTACAGAGACATTGTACTTGATCCAAGCAGTTACATACCACTCATACGCTCTTTTAAGAAAAATTATTATTACTAAATTATTGTGTATTTACTGGAAGGTTCTGAAAATAAACTTCTATGGTTGTTTAAACTAATAATGTTAGTATTTAATAGTAATAATAGTACTGTAGTATTTAAATTAATAGTAGTAATAGTGCTAATTCATAATTAGTAATAATAGTACTAATAGTATTGAAATTACTATTTAAATTAGTAAGTTAAAATTCACAGAAGTGTTTATATAGAGAGAGCAAAATTGAAAAATCTTAGGTTTGTGGTGTATTGTTTGCATGAAACAATGCTTTGAAATATCCCATTTGAAATATCATAGTAAGTGCTGAGAAAATTTTTGTGAAAAAACATATTTATGAATCTGAAGGATGTGTAAGTGCATGCACACAAATGATGAACACAGCAGTAAGTATAACAGTGGGGAGTATCTTTGTAAATAAAAACTACGTGTTAATTAGAATAAGCATGCAAAGTCAAAACCAAGAAATTTTTACAAGATTCAGTGCTGTATTTTGATGCTCTGAGGGAGAGTAAACAGGGAAATAAGATTAATGAAAAAGCATTTTGCAAATATCTCTGTTAGTACTGTACCTCATATGATATAAATATTAATGCAGGATACATGTCAACTCTGAAGCTCATTTTCCTTTCCTTGTGTTAGGTTGAAGCAGCAACAGGTGAACAGGTATCAGCAGAGGATCTTGGAGGGGCAGATCTTCACTGCAGGTTTAAATAAATATTTTCCCAGAGTTAATTTCTTCCATATTGTAGACTTTCCTTTCCCCTTCCCCTGCCCTACCCTTCTTTTATTCTATTGTGGTTTTAGATCTTTCTTAAGCTGTGTTTACCTTTTGAAAATTTTTTCTGTGTTACCTGATGCTGACTGATTGTTTTATATTTAGAATATCACAGTTATTTTGTGTTACTCTAGTTAGGATTTTTTCCTTCATTTACTGCTTTAAAATGCTCACATGTCTAGTGTACTTCAGCATCATGCATAATATGGAGGACTTCAGTACTGAGTGTTAACAGAATAATATGTATTGAGAAAGATAATACATTTTGCAGATTGTGTCTTTCTTACTGTCATGTAGAATTCACTACAAGCAAGATCAAAATAGCCTGTGCTTTTTGTAAAAATTACTTCTCATCAAACCCAAAAAATATGTGCACTTTCAAGTTCTGCAATTAATAACAAACAAATTTAGGTATTATTACACAGTAAGGTAGGCTGTGCAATTGCTGTATAATAAATGCTTATTTTTTACTTCAATTTGAAGTGAATAAAGAATTATTTTGAAGGGCAGTTCATGCCATTTTTGTAAACATGTTTTTCTTTATAATTGAAATTAATTTTTGCTGCATATGAACAATGCTTGTTATATTTTATATTGCCATTTAGATTTTTTTATTTCCTGCATTTTATTTCATGTCTGATAACTTGAATGTACTATTTTGAAGAAAAGGTCAGGCATGGAGTTTATTTTTAAAGTAACTTCATAATAAAACACAGCTGAATTGTTTCATCTATATTGTCAAGGTCTTAGAAGCTTTAAAATGTCAAGTTTTCATTGCCTGATTTATGTTGGTTTTCTCCCCCAAGTATTCATCTTGCTATTGTTGTTTATGTACAGAAAATCTGGTGTAACAGATCATTATGCTTTGGATGACAATCATGCACTTCATCTGGCAAGGAAAGTTGTAAGAAGTTTGAATCTCCAGAAGAAAGTAGATGTAAGTCTACAGAGTCTGAAAACACTGCATTGTAGAAATTAGGAATGCTTTTCTCTGCCTCATTGATATAACACTTGTTTTATAGAACAAAGAACACGTTTGTCTATGGCTTTACATGTCTGAAAATGAAAATTATGGTCTTGCCCTTAAAGATTTCTCTGATGCTTCAATTCTGCAATTATATTCCTGCTGTATTATTCCCAGTAAAACTACTGGGATTAAATGCAGGAATGAAGCAACTAGAAGAGTGCTTCAGAGTTGTAGAATTGCACTTTTAGATTAATCCAGTCTTGCAAGATACTTAATTTTAAACTCACACTATTGTTTTCTGTGGACTTAAGATTAGATACCTGCTAAAGCATCCTTTTGAGTAGACATTTTCTGGAATTATTAAGGTGTTGAAAACCAAGGGGATAGACCTGTATCTTGACAATGAATTGTATTGATTTAAGAATTCCTTGTAGTAAATGGCATGGATAGTGTATGGGGGTGGAATTGCTGTTTTAGTAGGAGATATAAGAGGGTGAATGGAATTTCAGGGAAGGCAAGATACTGCATTCAGTTGTGTGACAAAATCTTCACCCATTTTTCAGAATGCTGCCTGCCTTAGAAGGCACAGGGGGAAAGTAAGCAAATAGGAGGACATGCCTAATTTTTTTATAACATGGAAGAAGTGGAGCATATGTGGAGATATATGCAGGAGTAGAAAAAAGGTAACAGTAAATGAGAAACTGTTATCAACCTTCAGTTTAGGAAACTTGGTCTTTATGCAAAATGACAAGCCGGTACAGGCATTTTTATGTAGTTGGTGAAGAGAAGTCTGTGCTCAAGGAAGTTGACAAATTAATTGTTTGAATTTTTATATCATAATGTGAACTTTGTTGTGTAAATTGTTTGTTAAATTGCTGTAGGTGACTATAGAACCATCAGAAGAGCCTTTATTTCCAGCTGATGAAATATATGGAATAGTTGGTGATCAGCTAAAAAGAATTTTTGATGTCAAAGAGGTATGAGTATTAATGCAAGATCCATATGCCCATACATACATGCATCCATTTTCTTGCAGGAAATCACTCTTTGTGTTGTCATAATGGATAATACTTGATTTGGGTTCTTACTTCTTTATGTTTTTGTCCAGCAGATGCATTGCAGTAGCAGTGACTTGTTGAAAATATAATCAGTTTTGGTTATACTTTAGAGAAGGATGAGCAAGGATGAGAGATTGGTAACATTCTGAAAAAGCTGACAGAAATGGGAACTCCTCATTGGCAAAGCATTCTATAGACTTGCCCAGGGATATGATGGTTTTCTTTTTCTGTCAGTCCTGTGAAAGATTGTTTAAGTATTTATGGAGTATAAGCACACTAAACAATTGAGCCTTGTCCCAACTGCTTACAAAGACTGTTGTACACTACTGCAGGTTTAGTGTAATTATCTGCCTTGGAACCTTCATGTGAGCCAACAGGCTTTCTCATATTTACCACAAATCTCACATTCAGAGCTTTTTTCACTGCTAGCCAAGTATCTATTTTAGGAAGAGTCTCAATAGGTACCTGTCTTAAAATGTTTGGCAGAAATTACTAGGATTTGTTTTGCATTAAGGGGAAAAAGAGATGAACAGTTTAATTGAGTTTCATACTTCACTTTCAAAAGTTTGAAGAGTTTGGATTTATGTTCTTTTAAAGTGGAAATAAATGTCTTCTGGCAAATCTTGCTAGCAGTGCTTCTGTATTTATAAAAAATGGCTCCTTTGCATCACAGAGAAACCTCAAATCATATCTTCATTATTTTTGTATGTCGCAAACTCAAGCAAGCCTAAAAATAATCATATCTCTAAGAAAGTGCCTCATGATTGTATATATGTTTTTCTGTACAAATGAGAGGCTATTGATTAATGTTTAATATAAGCAGGGGTTTTTCTTTGAAATTCAACTAATCAGGAAAACATTCCTATGTAATTTAGCTGTTTGATTAGAACATTCTTAATCTTGAAAATCCATTTTTTACAAACATGTGAATGAATCACACTTAAAAAACAAAATGGGCTTTGCCTATCATCCAAACTGTTTATATGGTGGGCTGCTTGATGTTCTATAAATGGAAAGGTTTTAAGTTATATGTTGTCCTGGCTGTCCTTTCTAAACAATTAAAAACCTTGAAGGATTAGGAATTTAATGTTATTTTCCATTTATTCTTAAGGTCATTGCTAGAATTGTAGATGGAAGTAGATTTGATGAATTCAAAGCCTTGTATGGGGATACTTTAGTTACAGGTAAGTAGAAATATAATTATTCTGTATATGTTCCCACTGGTTTTATAGCTGGATTTATTCTGGCTCACCACTGATATTTTTAATGATGTTTATTTTCAGAAGAATAGCAGTTTCTGTTACCAGGAGAAAGTCTTACCTTTATATGCTATGGAAAAATAAATACATGTAGAAATTTACAAATTAATCTCTGTCCTTTAGGATTTGCAAGAATTTTCGGTTACCCAGTAGGAATTATTGGAAACAATGGAGTTCTTTTCTCAGAGTCAGCGAAAAAGGTAAATAGATAGATTACTAGCTTCTTTGCCATTGAGGAACAAAACTCCTGGTGGACAACTTGCTCTTGAGAGGAGGAGCTTTTTTAAATAATGAAAGAGAACTGGTCCCACTTTTTTCAGGTAAATGCGGAGCAGATAAAGACTGTTAATAAGCTGAAAAAAACCCTTGACCATAATATAGAAACTGTGTTTGGTAGATTTTTCTGATGTGAAGAAGATACGCCAACATCAGAACAGCATTTGGATTAATGTGAATACAGCATAGTTGAAATAGTATACCTTGAAGCTTACATCTGAGCAAGACAAGTCCATCCTGATTCCATCACATACCCTGTTGGGTATTCCTAAACTCTCAACCATGAAGTACTACGGAAAATACTATCTTTGTTTTTATAATAACTGGAAAATCTTAAACCTGAATTCCAGTACTCAGTACTCTTGTTTACCAGAGTTTTAATTTTCATAGTTTGCTGCAGTATCTCCTGGCTTAGAATAATGAGCTAATACCTGTGCAATCTTTCAAAATCTATGAGCTAAAACACCTGTTTTGTGAATGAAAGGCTCTGTGTGAAGAAATATTGTGATTTTATCAGTGCTTTACAGTTTGCATTTCAGGGTATGATGGTGATAAAGAGTATCTGGGTATTGCAAAGTGTTTACTTGGTCTGTGTTGCTTGCTTTAGTTCTTTATTTTTTCAAGAAACAACTGTCAGTTGAATTTTTTGTAATATCAATTATATATGCTAGTTTTATTCTAACAGCTTTCTTGAGCTAACGCTGAACAAATTGGTATTGAGAATATACAGAAAAAGGAAGCATTGATGAGAGAAGTAGAGGAAGGAAGTAATTTTACTGGATTTATTGCTGTTATAAAATAATATACAAAATTGAGTTTCATATGCTGAAGGAATACTTCCAACTTGAAGCACTGTACATGACATTTTTTTTCATCTGACATTTAACAGTTACTTCCAGGTAGAAAATAACTCTTGCAGTGTTTCTAATAGTTTCATTACTTTTCTAACAATTTAGTGCTAGAACTGTTTTTCCTAACAATGAAAAAAATGTAGGAATCTGCCATTTTTTTACTGGCATATTACTACTGTAAAAGGAAATTCATCTCTAGAGAAACATTTGTCCATGATGTTGGTTCTATAACCAACATGCGTTAGCAGTACTCCTTTCTTGCATTTTTGTAATGAATTGTTGCAAATTTTTCCCATGATCATCACTATGCTGTTCACATGTTTCTCTGAAAATTATACTTAATTATTTTTCTCTCCTTTTTCTTTTTTTAACCTTTGCAGGTTTTATATTTAGATATTTTTTCAGTTGTTGTGCTACATAGCCTTGTTTTGTTTTGTTTACAGCAAGTGTATAAATAAGCCGAGATACTTTATTGACTTAGATTAATTGAAACAGAGGCTTGGAATCTACTATTTGTAACTTTGGTAGGAAATTGGTCTTTTGCTAGTAAATAGGGAGAGGGCATCTGCCTTCAGGAAAGAGAGAAAATATTACAGCAATTGGCAGGGCCATGGGTAAATAATTTATATGAGTCTTTCCCAGTTTTAGAGAATACGTTTATTTTGTACAGAAAATGGAGAGATAAGTTTTTCTGACTTGATTTCTCTGACAGAGTCTTACCAAAGTCGCTGTCAAATGCCACATTGGTGCTGTCCATGGTTTAACTGCATATTGGCCGAGTCACAGCAGTTGAGCTTTTCAGTCTTAGTAATAATGCTTTTTAAGGGCATTATTTGTTTTACCCATGGTCTCACACACTTTTGGAGATCTCTTACTTCTACTACAGTGAATGCATGTTTTGCAGTTAACTTTGGGTGAGGCAGAAGTAGTACAGCTCTTCCTGATGGAAATACTGTGGTGGACTTCAGTGGAAGAATTTAGCACAGGCTTCAGAATGCTGGTAGTGATAGCTTCATTTTTCCAACTTTTAATGGCTTACTCTTTTCTTTTTTTTTCCTCTCCACAGGGTACACATTTTATCCAGTTGTGTTGCCAGAGAAATATTCCCATTGTGTTTTTGCAGAATATTACAGGTAAGATTTTTTTGAGGTTTCGCTTTCATTTTTTTGAAGTTTTTGAGGTTTCACTTTGTTGTAGACTTCGCTGTTAATTGTTGAGGCTGTGTTCTAGACAGCCTCTTGTGTGGTTTGTAGTGCCTATATCTCCAGCCTGTCAGCAGCGGGTGGAGGCCTTGCCTTATGATTTGCTCCTCAGCTCTTTCTGCAATGTGCTGTGAAGCACATGGTATGACATAGGGCACAGTATTATAAACTGGTGAGCCTTTTGTTCATGTTGTATTTCTTCAGGTTTCATGGTTGGCAGAGAATATGAGGCTGGAGGGATAGCAAAAGATGGTGCCAAGATGGTAACTGCTGTAGCTTGTGCCAATGTACCTAAAATAACCGTCATTATCGGTGGCTCTTATGGAGCTGGAAACTATGGGATGTGTGGAAGAGCATATAGGTAAGTTTTCCTTCAAATTGTTACAGCAGACAGAAATAATTTAAGAAAATATAACCTTGGAGTACCATTCCAAAAAATCATCTGAATTCTTGAAGAAGCTGTGCTATTTGGAAAAGAAGAGAGTTCTTAATTAATATGTTCATTCATAAATAACAGCCTGAAATTTGTAGAGACTGATAAGGCTTGTGATTCACCTTGAATTAGATGACAGAGGAGACCTTCTAAAAGTAAACCTGTTCATACCCTTTTCTCCCATTTCAGTTTTTGTTGGAAAAATTGTAAAGTCTTAATCATTGGGCAGTATAGACTGGTCCGTTTTCTGCATTTATAGGAAAAGTATATCAGCTTGTGTAAAAACTCCTTATTCACGTCAATCAGCCTGGTTTTATGAAAAAGGTTTGTATAACCCCTAAAGATTTTTTTTGTTTGTTGACCCTTTGGACATGGCTTATGTGATTTTTTAAATTTAACTTTTTAAGGTTCCCCATACTATTGAAGTTAGTTGGGTTGTTTAGGAGAAAAATTCCTGTGGGTTGGGAATGTATGCTGAAGAGACCAAGAAAGAGAAATTTTTAAAAAAAGGTGAATAATGGAAATGAACAGAATTTTTACATTTTCAAATGTAATGCTGCAAGAATTGAAGTATGTTAATGTACCTTTTAAAAATGTTATATTGTGAAATTATTGTGCATAAAAATATATTCTTAGTTGAGTGAAAATTCTTTACTAGGAGATGTGCCAATGTCTTACCTTAATGTTTAATATGTATTTTTTCAGTCCAAGATTTTTATATATGTGGCCAAATGCTCGCATATCGGTGATGGGAGGGGAACAAGCTGCAGCTGTTCTAGCTACAATAGCTAAGGACCAAAAAGCAAGGGAGGGAAAACAGGTATATCTTTCTTCTTTCATTTCTGGTAAAGTCATTACCACTTACTCTTTTACTGGAATTGGTCACTTTGTGAGCTAGGAAGGGGTGGAAGAGAGTGAGACACCAGTGAATTATCTCAGTGCCAACTAGTGCAATGACTAACATGAAGCATTTCTGAAAGGTTATTGCTTACTTTTTGAAATCTGAAGATTATTCTTATAACATTTCTTATTTTTGCTTAAAAAGAGGAGTTTTTCATACACCATCGTATTTTTGAACTCTGTGCAACAAGTTATTAGTTCTACCTGAGATAAGCAACCGGAAATACTCCTTGGTTTGGGAGTATGAAGAGGAATGTCAGGAAAAAGTGTCTTTCCAGTTATGAAGGTGGCAGTTTTAGAGAAGGTTGATCTTCAGATGATTCACTGATTGAGAATTATGAAACTTGTAACAACAGAAGTGCGGAGAGGTTTGGAAAAGTTTTTGCTCATTTCAACATTTTAATTGAAAATTAGAGGTATATTGTTTATATAATAAATGTATCTTAACTAAATCTTATAGTAATATTTTATAGTTTCACTGCACACTCTTTTCTGCTGAGTTGGGTTTTTTTAATTGTAAGGTTTATGGTTATACTACTGCCTTGATTCCATAAGAAGTGGTTTTAATGATGTCTAAAAATTGTTCATATTTATCATGAATAGTTAATCAGAATAATGAAGCAGTATGAACATGTTATCTCAGTGTTGTTACTTTTCAACACTTGACTTGCTCTTTCTGTGGGTAGAATACACTCACCCTTATCTTAATTTCCCAAATCCATGATACCCAGAAATAAGGTCAAGAAAAATAATTAGTAGTAGTTAAATGTCAGTCAAATGTGTTAGAAACTTGAAAGATTTCTGAATTACTGTGACCAGTCTGGATCACACTGGATCTAACCCAGTGTTAGAATAGTGCAAACTTGCTTTATTAAAAAATCTTGTCAAAGGCAACCCAATTTTTTTTTCCAATAGACTTCAGTAATTTTTCAAGTGCTAGTCACCAATACTTCTTGTATTCAGTTAAGCATATGTTTATTCTCTTTTTTGCACCCACTTGATTTGGAAAGTGCCATTTGAATTTTTTATCAAACATGCAAAATTGACAATTATGTGCTAAAAGAGTAAAAAAACTTTGGGCAGATAATTTAGGCATTTTCTTCAGGTTGCTGAATGCAGCTTTATATGCTGCATATAAAGCTCTACTATCATTGGAGAAGAAAATATTAAATTATATTTTATGTGGTTTTTTAGTTGTCTGAAGCAGATGAAGCAGCTTTGAAGGAGCCAATCATTAGGAGGTTCGAGGAGGAAGGAAACCCTTATTACTCCAGTGCAAGGTAACACACAAATAACTATTCTGAAGCTTAATTGTAATCATGGGACTTGACTTCTAATTCTTGGTATTAAAGAACAGAGCAAATAGAAGCAAAGATTGTCTGTCTTATCTTGCCTTGTCTGTCTTATCTTTGGGATCTGGTACCATGAACTGTTTCAGAAGACAGCATGCACTTGAAGGAAGTATCTCTGGTTCTGTAAGAAATTCTGTGGTAGCATGGAATTTCTATGTTACATGTTTTATTCTGGATGAGTTTTATATCATTCTCCCCAGTGGAGTACCTGGTCACCTTTCTAAAGCTTGTTGAACAGTATAATAAGTGGCTGCATGAGTATTAGGAGGAATTCGTTTTAATGGGGTCCTGCAAGAAGAAGCAGCCAGTGGAAAAGGAGGCAGCAGTTTCAAGAGGACCTGAAGCCATTGGCAAAGGTCATGGTCATTTGTATTGGATGATAGCAGTGATGGTGTAGGGCTTTAGCTGATGGGTGCTGCATACTCATGTTTGCTGGGAAGTCCATTGCAGCATTTCATGCTCAGGCTGATGCAATATTAGTAAATGACCAAGAACTAGTATGGCTAATGAAACAGGGTGCTTTTTCAGGCATCCTGAAGTAATCCAGATACATCTGGAAAGTAGCCTGGGGGGCTTTTTTGGCCTTTGATAGTTATTCTGCGTTAGTTTCATCCTGTCAGTGCTAATCTTCCTGCATATATTTCTTCTGCTTGTGGTATCTAAAAGCTAATTTTCCACAGGCTCTCAGCTGCTAACGATGGTAGAGGGTAGCATATTTCAGTGACCTGTATGTCAGCTGTGAAAGCTGCAGAGCTGGCAGTGAACAACCCAGGAGACTCATGGAATATGTAGAGAACAAGTTCCTGGTGCAGGTATGAGGCAAGCCAGCCAGGGGTGTGGCATTCCTAGGCCTGGCACTCACGGTGCAGAGGGGCTCACTGAAGAGGTTGTAGCTGGAAGTAGTGGGCACAGCCTGGTTAAGTTCAGAATCTCAATGAATATGAGGCAGCAAAGAGAAACTCCAGACCCTAAAATTTGGAAGAGTGAATTTCCAGATGTTTAAAGGGTTAGTGGATGAGATTGCCTCAGAAGGTCCTTAAGGACAGAGCGGCTGATTAGAGCTGGCAATTCTTTAAGCACACTTTTCTTAGAGTACAAGAGCTCTTTATTCCTGTGTGTAGGAAATTGAGCATGGCAGAGTGGCAACTGGCATGGCTGACCAAGGATTTTCTCCTCAAATTGAAGTGTAAGAAGGAAGTGTACACACTGTAGAAGCAGGGGCAGTAACCTGGCAAGAGCTCCTTCTTCATGATCAGAAATAAGATACTAAATGACTGTTAACTTTTACTCTTTTGTGTAGGGATAGCGGAATACACTTAACTAAGATATTTATACCTGAGAAATCAACATTAATTTTAATGTTTCATCAAATAAATACCTTTATCAAGCTTGATCTTCTATGGGTAGTAAGAGAAATGGCACAAAAATTTTTAACAGCTGACCTTTAACAGTTGACTTTGTGCTCTAAGGCAAGAAGGAAAAATGAAAAACTATGTATCATTTTTTATAACTGGATTTTAAGGAGAAGAATATTCCACTTATATAATAACATTTAAAAATGAGTCAAACTGTCTGTATTTAAAATTAATCCCTACCCCAGAGAAGATGAATAATGTGGTTTTTTTACATTTGCTTTCTTTTATATGTTCACTGGAAACAGTCAGACTCTTTTACTCATGATTTATTTAACATTCAATATATTAGATATATTAGCAATACAAAACCTTATCCTCTCCCAAAAACCAACAGATGATTGTCAGTATTTACAACAGCAAGTTGCCAATCTGTAAATAAGCAGTTTTACATGTAAAGTTAAGAGTAACATTAAAAAAAATCACATTTTGAATTTTTAATAATGTCTGATTTTCAGACATGAAACTTGAATGTTTAATGGCAGCTTTGTGCTCTCTGATGTCAACAACATTTACCAGTTTATGTTTTCAGAATATCTGTCCATTTTGTGAAGTTAAGTTGTTAGTCACCCCAGCAAATAGCTTAAATTTGCCCAGCCCAGATGTTAGAAAGTGCTTTTAGTGCTAAGTGATGTGTCGTTTTTTTTTGAAAAGCAGGGTAGTTATGTGCTTCTTACTGTTTCCCTTTGGAAAGGAAATGTGACGTGCACAGATGTGAGTTGGCTGAGAGCTAGCGTGGGTCTGGATTGCATGTGGCTGGGTTTGTGTGATGCTGCATTCAAGATAATAAGCCCAGCTGAGACATGAAGTCAAATGTCAGATCTGAAATCCCACTGAGGCTTACCTGGCTATAAGCAATGAAGGTAAAATGCCTCTTTTCACAAAAGAGTGCTTTTGACAACAGTGTGTGAGTGGTTCTGGTCAAAGCAGCTCTGGCTGGTTTCTCTCACTTTTCAGTTCAAGTAGGTGCAGTCTGCATTGTCTAGGAGCTTTTAATTGCTCTCTCTTGTAGAGTTAATTGGGTATTTCAGTGGATGTACTCATGTTTCCTGCCCTTTCATGCTTTGCATTAACTAATTCCTAAGCAAGACCTCGGATCAATAGTTCAGAAGTTTTCATTACTGTGGAGTAGGATGTCCAAGCAGAAACAATGAGATGAAGTGGATTACAATGTTCGCAGCAAGTGTGCTGTGGGGGAAGGATGTACCACTCACCTTGCACCTTGGAGACAACCCTTTCCAATCAGCCAGCATCAGCAGCTGCTTATTAGCAAGCATTTGCTGTAATTCAGGAAGGAGTAACCCGTCCCTTTGCAGCCCATTCCTGTTGGGCTCCAAGTATGGTAAAAACCCCGCTGATTGTCTACCAAATGTCAGGGTACTGTAATTGAAACAGAACCCAGACAGCCTTTGTTTTGTAAGAGCCTTCCACCAACGAGGTCAGCAAGGAAACTCTAACAAACACCTTTACATTTCTGAGAGAACAAAAAATGATAAATGGGCACAAAGATTGTTGTCTGTATTGTTGCTTGTGTGCAGCTGATTCGGAGGCTCCCTCATGCTGTCCTCCTGCCTAATGTCTGCCTTGCCCTTAATAGCCATTGGGATTGATGTGACCCTTCCACTTGACTTCATTAGGCTTTGAATCAAGCTTTTAGCAGTAATAAGGAGAGAGAAGGAAAATGACCTGACGATCTTAACAGACAAGAAAATATCCCTGTTTATTCTGTTTATATTGCTCTGCTTATAAGTGATAACTTGCTATACATACAGGATGTCAATACTGTGCCCTGCAGTTGTATTTTCTAATCAGACTTTAACTAATTTTTTGATTAAAACCTTTCACAATGAGCAGTCTTAATTAATGGCAGTCATTAGGCAGCACCCTTTTTAATGAGTTATATTAATCTGCTCACTGGTTTCTTAAAAGATTTCAATGGTTTGCATCTTAACAAATTGCACAAGCATTTTACTTTAGGCAACTTCATTTTTTTTACTCAGACTATCTCAGCTACAGATATTTTATGAGTGTAGTGTGACTCATGTTCCTGCAATGGGGTTTTAATAGATAGTTTAATTATTAATGTTACATCCCAGTAGAGAATGCAGTTTTCTTTAAACAAAGAGAAGCAGAAGCGAGGGGTGATCATATGAAAGCAGCTTGACTTCCATGCAAACATAAAATTTCTGCAGTTGTCAATGTAAGTTAATTGTGTTTTTACAAAAAAAGGAAAAATAAAAAACAACCCAAATCTGCCATTGAAATGTGCTTCATGTTTGGCTGTTTATTACAGCAGTAATCACTATGAAGTTGTGTCTTGCAAGGTACTGCACTAAATTGGTGATTCCTTTGGAGTCAGTTCTTCTCTGCCCTTTCCAGGCCCTGAGCAGGTGTGTTGAATATTTTAAGTATTATGAATGCCCTCATTCTGTTTCAATGTGTTTCATAAATAAGAAAGTTAATTGCAGGTATTTATTAGAAAAAAAAAAAAGTTCATATAGAGAGCAAACAAAGCTGTAGCAGTCAAAAAACCAAACTTTGCTTAAAAATAGAAGTTAATATATTTAAGATTGTTCATAAATTTGGGGGTTTTTTTGGTAGTCTTAAGAAAACAGAAAGTTGGGATTGATTTGACCTCACAGAACCGCTTAATTTTCACTATTAAGGAGGATTTTCTCCTTTGTCAGATTAATCTGACTATATTCGTCATAACTAAATCAAAATATAAATACAAGGTGAAGAAAAAACAAAGCACATGCATTAAACTTTGGTAAGGCGCACACTATGAAGTTGAAAGTATACAAAAATACTGTCTTGGCCATTCTGTCAGGCTAGGTTAAATCAAGAGCTATAACCATTGTCTTGAGAAAAATCAAGAAAATTCAAAGAGCTCTTAAGTAAGTATCTGTAAAACCAAGTTACACTTTTCTTTGAGTATTTTGAACAAAAAAAAATCTTCCAATTGCTTTTACTTTTGTATGGTAAGAAGCACTTCCTCTGAGTTTTTTCAGTTGAGTATTGCCCAAATACTTCAACACAATTAAAGTAACTAATTAAAATTTAGTTACTGGAATTACTAATTAAAATTTAGTTACTACTTAAAATTTAAAAATACAGTTAGGAAAGAAGTTACTCCCAGGAGTCAGACAGCAGGAGCTTAGACCATGCAATTTATCGGCATTGTGATACAGACAGCTCTTTTGTCATCTGAAACAGAATTTCCTGTTAGTACACTTCCATGCAGGTACAAGTGTGGCTGTTAGAATATTGCAGTGCTTGGGTTACTAGCCCACTAGAAGGGAGGTACTAACTGAGAATCCTAAAATGAGAAGAAGTTAGGTAGTGCTATAGTTTTCTTATCTTTTATTTTGGGTCTATAGCGGTGGGGGGGAGGGGACTTTTGCCATGCCATAAGTTTTTCTCCTTTTAGGAAAGGAAAATTTGAGGAAATTCTTTACTGTGAGGGTGGTGAGGCACTGGCACAGGTTGTCCAGAGGAGCAATCCTTTGCCCCATCCCTGGAAATGTTCAGTGCCAGGTTGGATGGAGCTCTGAACAACCTGGTCTAGTGGAAGGTGTCCTTGCCCATGGTGGGGGGATTAGAACTAGGTGGTCTTTAAGGTCCCTTCCAGCCCAAACCATTCTATGATTCTATCATCTTCTAAGAATTCATTCTCTGATTGTTGGGACCGGGCAGCCAGGTCACTGAGTGCCACAACTGCTGTAGTAAAGACTTCTTAAATGAAAATTTGGTTTTCTCTCCCAAAAAAGAAAGAGTCTGATTTTGGCCAACTAGCAGCAGTCTTCTCGTCTCCAAATCCTTTCTTCTTCTCTACTTCAATTTTACTCTTGTGCCCCATTTAGTTTAAAAGTCTACTGCTTGGGAACCTGGACTGTGATAAGATCTATTTATAGTAGAGTATTCTTTCTGAGCTGGGTATCCTTTTTCTTCTCTAACTTTGGAAACATGCTCCTAGAGCTGAGCCTGGACCCTCGTGCCTGGTCTCATTAAAGATGTCTTCTTCTGCAATTCCATTTTGTGCATCATGGGATAGATACACCTTGTAAAATGAAAAGCATATATTGTCGGTCTCAGTATATTTATTTGATTTGATCAATATTAGTTCCACAGCAAATGACAAAATAAAGCAAATATGGAAAACACTCACGTGTCTGCTGCTGCCTTGAGTTTATCAGCATGTATTTATGTACAGTTTGCAGTCCTCTTGGGGGTGAAGTTGGCACTTTTAGGATTGAAAGAAGAATGCAAAATATCTTGTTTCCTGTCTAATAGGTTTTGCCAAAAATTATCTCCAAACAATATAAAATTTGCAGATGGAACTTCAGTTCAAAGGGAAAGGCTGTGTCTTTTGGTAGAGTCACTCTTGGCTCCCTGTTCATGAGTGCTTTTTGTATTTTAAATTTTCCACAAAGAATTAAGCATTAGCCAACACTGAAGTAAGTTCACAAAGAATGCAAAATAAGTCTCTCTAGGGAAAGTTGGGATGGAGGAGGAGCATCCCTCTCTTAACCAAAGATGCATGTGTTCTGCAGATGCTGGTTAAACTATGTGTTTGTTTAAGTGAGACTGGGTTTCAGTGGGCAGTATGGTATCTTGTTTAAATATCTTGCTGTGGAAATTACAGTATTTACAGTTTCATTTCAACATGGATTTTAATTCAGGTAGGATGGAGCTGTCATTGAGAATTGATGCCACTAAGACCCTAGTTTTTGGACAATATCAAAGAGACTATTTAAAGTGTTGGTGATTTTGGGGACCTGGGAATTTGACAATTGCTCATTTATAATTTAATTGCCTTCAGTCTTTGGTTAAAGAAGGTAGTATCTTCCAGTTGTTTAGAAATTAACTTAATGGTAAAAAAATTGTATTGGGTCTTGCTGAGGTGGAGTTCATTTTTCCACAGCAGCCCTCATAGTGCTGTGCTTTGCATTAGTAGCTGAAAGGGTAGTGACAGCACAGCAGTGCCTTGCTGAGCAGTGCTGGCACAGCACCAGCCTCTCTCTCCAACATTTCCCCCCCATCAGTATTCTGGGGAGGGGAAGATCCTGGGAGGGGACACATCTAGGCCCGCTGACACAAATAAACCAAAGGGATATTCCGTAGCATATGACTTCAGCTCAGTTCCAAAAGCTAAGGAGAGGAGGAAGATGAAACATTGGTTATTTACAGTGTTTGCTTTTCCAAGCAAGTGCCATATATACTGAAGCCCTGCTTCCTAGGAAGTGACTGGACATTGCTCGCAGATGGGAAGTAGAGAATAAAGTTGTTAATGTTTTTTTTCTCTTGGTGCTGATGCAAACTTTCACTTATGCTTTAGTAAACTGTCTTATCTCAACCTATTGTTTTCCATCTTATTTTCTGTCCTCTGTCCAGCTGGGAAGGGGGAGAGATAGAGTGGCCCCATGGGCACCTGGAATCCAACAAAAGTCAACACACCACAGAAATTCCAAAAATACTTGACTTTTTTTTCTGTCTTTTTATTGATGAAAGAATAAACACTTGTATCATCCTTATATGGCAGTTGAATTAACGGGAATAATGTAAATAATTATGTTATATAATCCTTGAAGTGCAAGCATTCTTAATAGAATTAGATAGGTCACTGACAGATGGTCATTCTCCACATGAACATTAACAAGCAAAGAGGGCTTTTTTTCTTGATAGAGATGATTAAGTATGAAGAATATATTTAAAATATGTAGGTCTTACATTCTTCACTTACCTAAAATGTAAACATTGTTCTAGAAGACAAATTCCATGGAGTAATACACACCAGTCTATTGCATTGATGAACAGTGTGAATTGACTCCATTAAGTATAATTCAGCTCTTTACTCCTCTTTCTTTTTCTGAAGCATTTTAAATTTCATGGATTTGAAAGTATGCCAGTTGTATATGTTGATTTCCTTTAATTGTTTAAAGTCTTGGTTTGTTATGTTTTTGTCTTTTCTCTAGATTATGGGATGACGGAATTATTGATCCAGCTGACACAAGACTGGTTTTGGGCCTCAGTCTCAGCGCAGCACTAAATGCACCCACCAAGAAGACAGAATTTGGAGTTTTCAGAATGTAAACTTAAACATGTGATCATCAGAATTACCTCTGTATATTTTATTTGGGGCTGGACAGCATAGTAGCTACAATATTGTGGTGATTAAAGATAAAGATTTCTGAGATGCTATTTTAAATGAAATTTTCATCATTATTTTCACTGACTGTAATTATCACACAGTGCTTCAGCTTTTTGATAGTTATTTGAGATTAGTCATTTAAGTGCTTATATAACTGCATTTCATGAATAAATTGCAAATTCTATCATTGTTCTTCATGTTACATGAAACTATTGATACTATCTCTTGTATAAATAAATGTACAAAAATAAGCTACATATTTGGTGCTTATCAGCTCTTGTGTTTCTTTTAATTCTTTTTCATGTGTCTCCTATAAATGCAAAGTACTTTTGCAGTCCAACAAAGAAAAACCCATGTTTGCTAATAAATAATTCTTGTGAAAAGGAAGTGCTGTAAGGGCAGCCAGAGATTTCGACACAGCATGAAATTTTAGATTTCGTGCATTTGTTGTCATCTTGTTCTGTCTCTGGCTTTCATCCAAAAAGCATTGCTTTTCTGTGTGGTTCCCTGAAGTCAAAACAACTACTGAACCTGAGGGATGCATAATGTTTTCTGGAAGAAATGGTAAGTGTGCGCTGGTATCTATGAAATCAGCAGGTTGCTGAGAGCATGTGTGAGGACAGGGACTGGCTACAAAAGCATTTAAACATCTTGGCATGTGGTCCTTCTGGTAATTTTGGTTTCACAAAGACAGAATGTTCTCTCCACAACAATCAATGCTTCGCTCAAAGCATTGAGCCTGAAATCCACTGGCTTGAGGAGTTCTGCGATGCTGGAGTGCTTTCTGACTATTCTGGTTTATTTAGGGTAGCTTGTTGGAGTGTAAAGTTTTGCAAGAACTCAGTGTCTGTCATTTAATTTGTTTTCTTCAGAAACATTGCACCTTGAAGAAATTACATACTGTTCCAGCTGGAAGGTGATTTCATTTTATCTAGCTTTGCTCTACAGGTGCCCAGATAGCCATTGCCAGAAACATCCTTAACTGAGAGTCAAACCCAAGAAGAGCCAGTACATGGAATAGAGGTCCTCTCCTGGAGGAGAGGGCTGGCCTGTGGGGAGAGGAAAGACTGCTAAGAGGAGTGATCACCCGGGGTGAGGTCCTAGCTGTAATCTTCCTAGGCTTGTGTGGAAAGGAATTTTCCTTGGATCCAGGAGGAGGATGGAAAGTCTGCTATCTACCAGCCTTTCCAGCTGGGTCTCAGACAGATTCAAACAAATAAAATTAAATAATTCCGTGTAATTGGGATCTTCAGTGTAGGATACAGACAATGTAGACAGCCTAGCATGTGTTGAGCTGTGTGATCTCTGGCACACTTGCCAAAAATTGCACTAAAAGAGCAATTTTCCCTCTCTTTTTCTGAGATGAAATGTATCCAAAGCCTGGTGTGTTCTGCACCACTAGAAAGATTACTTCTGTGCGTCTGCATTCTCATGCTTACTCTTAGTATATTAAATAAATGTTTAACAGGGAATAATAGTTTAAAGTACTGCCAACTAGACACAGAGCTGTGCTTTTTTGTGACTTGTCTCACTACACACATTTGTGAACATGTCTGGCATAGACACAAGATTTCTTGATCCTGAATGTAAAGTGAAATTATTTATAGTTAGTAGGCTTCTGGCATGCATTTAAAAATACCCCACTTTCAAATACAATTTATAAAATATGTAAATACATACATACATATATATATATAAGCACAAGGAGAAAAAGAGTTCCAGACCCTGAAATGCTGTTCGTAGCTTTCAGTAAGAAGAAATGGACTGTATTTTCTCCTACTCCAGTTGAATAATCAGTTCTGGCACTTGACTTTCTGTTCTTAATTATGGGGGTCAGTTTTGCCTGTCACTTCCAAAGCCATGAGGACTACTGCCTGTTTCTGCTAAGAAAACTGATCTGTTCTGAATAATATTTTTATTTTGAATACATTCTTTCAATTACACTGGTAATTAAATCATGCCAAGTTGGAGACAGTAACAGATAATCCTGGGATACAGGTGACAGAAGCAGGTATGTTTGGAAAGATGCTTCTGAGAATGGTAATTCCCTGTTGCTTGTTACATTTGAAAAGACAGTTCTTTACACTTGTCAAAATTTTTTCCTCTGAATATGTATGCAAGAAAAGTCAAAACACATGTCTAATTCAATAAGAGTGTTCTGCCTTAATAATACTTAGCTTTGGAAATGTGTTAAGCAAATGGAATTAATCATCACAGGTTTAGCATCCTAACAGCATCATCTGGTTAGCGGTTGCTACCGAGCAGGATCTTCAGTGCAGAACAGTTCAGAGAGCCACTAGTGGTTATCACTCCTCCACTACACAGCTATTTTGGAAAAGCTTTTGCATGTTACTGTGCTGCATTCTGTATGGGGCACTGACTGCCTGCAGTGCCCCTTGTTTTTGATGTTCTGACTGCTGAGATGATCTCTTGCGGCCCAGAGGTTTCCTGAAAAACATTGTTTTTTGTGGAGTCAGCAGGAGTGAGGAGTTGCACCCCATGCTTGTACTACATTTGATGATGTTGGTAGATCTATTCATGCTGTCTCAAAATAATCACCCACAGCTCTCACATTTTGTCTGCCACCAGGACTCTCATGCTTTTGCAGTAGCAGCTCCTTTTTAGGTTTAACATGGATGCCATTACAACAGTAATTTTCAGTTTTCATTGGCACTGTGCTACCAGTAGGATCTCTTTTGGAGTGAAAGGAAATTTTAAATAAACCTAGATTAAAGATAGCTGCCACTGTAAAGGTATAATAATTGTGCTGGCAGAGGCAATGTAAAAGCTGTGGGTGACCATTTCAAGACTTTTCCTACTTGTCTCTGATACATGTAACATCTTCACTGTGTATTGAAGCAGCTCACAACCACTAATCTGTTTCCTTACTGGAAAGGGTGGTACTTGGGATGACACTGATTTTTCAAATGGAGGTTGAGCAACAGGAGAAATAGCTGTGCTATATCAAGCACAAAAACTGTGGTGGAACACCACACCAGATGCTCATGACTTCTGGGGACTTTTGCTTCTATCTAGTCTTGCCTTGGGCATAGCTGTTCTGAGCTATGTGCCTCCCTCCAGCCCCTGAGAAGAGGGGAGACCAAGAGGTTACCTACTTCTTTTTCTCCATCATAGACATAGTCTCTTTAAGAGGTTAACACTTAACTGCAAGGAGTTTAAAAGTGTCCATACTGTGACCTTGAGGGTGTTTTCAAACACCTCTACAGAAGGAAATGGGAATGAGGTGGGCTAAGCTTCTTTTCATGACGCAAGGGACTGTTGCAGTAACCAAGGGTTTCCTTCTCAAATTACCTGGGCTGAGGTGGTGAATTCAGGATGGGTCATAAAAATGTACCCATTGCCACTTTCCTTTTTATTTTCATGGCAGCTAGGAAGGTGCTGGGAACCTGGGAGCTACAATTTGGTCTTCAATCAAAATTGGTGGAAATTTGTTCAACAAACATCAAGGTAAAGCCTCTGGAACACAATCATTACAAGCCTCCTTCCAGGGCTGAAATGAGATGTGGACAGTGCATGGCCTCTGCAATAGCTCTGCCTGCAGAAATGGAGAAGCCACTGGGGACCTGTTCCCACTGCTCTTCCCCCCGTGTGGGGTTAGTTTATTGGGGAGTTTGTAGCCTCATTGTTTGTGTGGGCATTGGTATATGTACTGTTGTTCTGAGAACCCATCTTTTATTTAAGTGGCTTTTTTCCAATCTATTACTCATCAAGATGAATTGCTATCTCCTGCTGAAATAGATGTCTTTCAAGTATGCCTCTGGACTCTTATTACTTCAACAGTGACTCTGATTTATCTTAGATTTTCCTCACTGTTCAAGGCTTCAGTGAAAAAAAAAGTCTTGATTCAAAAAACCAGTGATGGTATATTATTTTTTTAACTGTGGTTTATAAATTAGGGCAATTTAACAAGGCAGTTATAAAAGCCTGCTTGCTTTTCTGCAAAGCCTTAAAGCATCCACTTAAAGCCAGATGTCCATTTTTGTGTCTCTGATTCAGTAGAGCACTTGTTCAAATGCTTGACACTAATCTCTACAGTCTAGTACTCCTAAAATCCATCCAACTCTATGTCTATGCTAAGCCAAAACTAGAACACACATAAATGCCTCAGAATCGCTCACCAGCATCAACATAAACCTCCATTACTTTCCCACTTTTAGAAGTACACTGAATTAATTGATCATGATGGAAGAGTGTGATTATGAAAAGTATGTGTGACTTTCAAAATTATCCATTTGATGTACAGATGCTAATGCACATTGGTAGAGTTCTGTTTGTACCTTGTGTGCAATAGCATTTGCAGGGAGAAAGTAAGCTTTGAGAAAAGTGAATTAGTACTTTAGTACAACAGAACCGTCCATCCCCAAGGTCTGATCACATTTCATGTGGATTACCCAGAGCTAAGTGCTTAAGTGCCACAGGCTCCCCTCATTCCATAGCCAGCTGTCTTAGGACTGGTTACAGATGCTGTTGGAAAGAACCTACCTTTTTGTAATTGTAAACTGTGGTTTTCTGGTTTTGTATCTCGACCTTTTCCTCTGACACTCTGGTAGCCTCTGATGCTCTTATTTAATAGTCAGATAACCTGCTGATGTTAATTCTGCTGATTTTTTATCCCCTGGTGCTGGAGACAAAGTGTACAAAAATGGCTAAATGAGGAACAAGGGACACTGATGTCTGCAGAGACAGTTTGATACAGACAGTAACAGGCACAGAAACTTGTATAGTTCTGGGGGTGTCTGTAGCCAGACAGACAAAATTACTTTTGGAAATAGAAACTTGTAATTGCCTCCACATTCAACAATAATTTTACAGGAGTAGCTAACATTAAATTCAGCTTTTTACTGGAAGTCTAAGTTGGAAAGAAAACAGTGATGTTTTCTGAGCATCTCTGGTGTGTTCAACACTTCATGAGTAATCCTCATACCATAAAACATGGTTTGAATTTTTGGTCAGGCTTCACAGATGCTGCTTTTAAAGTTGAATAGGCCATATATTTGTCTCTGTATGAAGTGCTACATTTTTCATAGCTTGGGATATTTCTCTGTTCTAAGAAACTTTGTTTTGGCATACCCATCATTTTCAGTATTGCATGTGGTTGTGGTTTTGCTCCAGCCTGGGAACAAAGCCTGGACTTGCTATGAGTGGTTTACTGCCAGCCTGACATCAGAAACCTTAACCTTCCCTGTGGCTAAATGAAACTGGAGGATCCATGCAGACAGACAGAGGATCGCTACTCTGACCAGCAATTACAAGTGAGACCTTTGCTGGATGTGATGATCAATAGGAGTGTGTGGGAGGAGGTAACAGCAAGAGGTGAACATGCAGCACTGGAGGCAAGCAACGTGATAGAGAGATCAGAACCTCAAACAAAATGCTGCTGTTGAAAATTACTTGTTGAACCACACTCCTTTTGTTCCCTTGAAAAAATGACCATCTGCTTGGAAAAATACATGCCTGGACCCGTTTAATTTTTCTTTAAACAACCTTGTATGTGTGCTCACATTGCATTGCCTTTTCAAGCTGTTACTAGCTCCCCTTCCTAGCTTCCCTACAAATGACCAGCTGTTAAGGGTTTGTTAACAAGCTGGGAGAGTTTTGTAAACAAGGTTTTCCAGTTTCCTCCTTCTCCAGATGATCCTCCCTTCACCTAAGGAGACACAGCCCAGTTCCTGCTGCTGTTGACTTGTAGGCAAGAACATCCTTGTAGCCACTTCAGAGCCATGAGCTTGAAGTGAAACCTCCTCATAGGCAGACCCAGCTTGTTGCCTCCTTGTCCCAGCAACCAGGTGGCCAAATGTCTCATGCCAGCAAACTGCTGCTCAGTGACCCTGTTTTACCCCAGCCTTGGCCCAGAGGAGGCTGGAGGAAGGCTGAGCACTGACTGTCCTTCATCTTGCATGCTGTGCTTGGCATACCACTGCTTTTCTTAATGGGAAGAGCTGCCCCTGCCACTACCATGGCCGTGAGGCTGAGCAGGTTTGACCTGCCAATGATATTTTTAGTGAGAATGTTCATGGACACGAGGCCACTGGGCTGGTAGAACCAAACGTCAGTGGGAAGACTGACTGACACGTGTTTACTGATGCTGTGTCCTTTTGGTGGCTGCACTGTGAGAATGTTCATGGACACGAGGCCACTGGGCTGGTAGAACCAAACGTCAGTGGGAAGGTCTGACTGACACGTGTTTACTGATGCTATGTGTCCTTTTGGTGGCTGCACCTTTTCTTTCACAAAATGGAGGTGGCCTCATTCCACACACAGCGTGTATAACACTTCCCAAGAACTTGCTCAGTGGTATGATATTTGACCCCAAGCACCATTCACAGTTCTGTGTGATGTATTAGCAGTTACTTTTATCCTGGGCCTTTTGATGCTGCTTCTTACCTTGCTCTCAGTGGCCCTGAGCCCCACTTGTCCTTATTCAAGCATTCACATCCTCATCAGCTTGTTGCTTATCACCACTATCTACCACCCCCCCATTCCCCCCACTCCTTTAGGCTAATCCTTCCTTCTAGCACATTGTGATTCTTCCTTCCTTCTAGCACATTGTGTTTTTCTTTAGCCCACGGCGTACTTACCCTCCCTCCTGTGTTGACTTCCAAGCCTAGTCTCCCCAGTCTACAAGCCCAACTTCAGCTTTCATCTCTGTGTGTCTAACGTCCACCCTCTTCCTCAACTATCCCAGCCAGCCCCCAGGACCGAGGGAATAGTTTCCCACTGCTCACAGCCCTCGACTGGGATCGAGCACAGGGAGCGCGGGCAGGGTGCGGCTGGGCTGGCCGGTTCCCCCCGCTCAGAGACGGATCCGCTGTTTGGCCCGAGGGCAGGGGCGCTCTGGGGCGGCCGGGAGGTGGGGGCGCTGAGCCCGGCCGCGAGTGCGGCCCCCGGGGCGCTGACGCACGGCGGGGTGGGCACGGCGCTATAAAGGCGGCGGCGGCGGCGGCGGGGCGGCAGCACCATGGAGAGCTGCCGGGCGCTGGCGCTGTGCGCCGTGGCGGCCGCGCTGCTGCTGAGCGCCCGCGGACACACTC